CGTGCGCTGGGGTCTCCCCCGCGCTCTGTTAGCCCTGCGTGAGCAGTGGTCAGCGGTGTCCTGCTGCTGTGGGGCAGGAAGGCAGGCTGTAACCTCGTTTAGCCCATTAGGTTTCATCTTCTGCCGTGCTCGCAGATCCAACCTTATTTTTACGCTCCTTTCTCTACATCGGAGTAGATGGCAGCTGGTCTTACGTTGTGAGATGGTTTGAATGGCAGCTTTTCTCCTGAAATAAAGTAGTATTGGTAATGCTTCCTACAGATCTCCTTGTGTTGCCTAACGTGGAGTTTTGTTTTTTTTTTTTTTTTTAACTTCTGAAGCAACGGCTGCCTAATGGACTGTTTCTTTTTAGACGGGCTCTCACACAGTTTGTGTTACTGCTAGGTGCTCTAGTGAAATAAGGAAAAGTGTTCTGGTGTTGGTGTGTTAACTGAAAACAGTTATGATGCAATAAAGTCAATATTATTTAATTTGATTGCTAAAGAGAAGACGGATTGTAAGTAATAAGCATTTTGAACATGTTCAAGTCAGCATTTTTAAAGTGAAACTCTTCAGCCATTACCTTCTAGGAACAGCAGGCTGCGTGGAAATAGATTTTATAAATGTATACATAATCCACTGTGGCTTTTTCATTCAAAGAATTGGTAGGGATTTGTTTGTGCTGCTTGTTCCAACATCATTTTGCCATCTCCGGTAAGTCAAAACGGAACAAGTGTAGAGAAATATTGCTAGCTTCCAGGAAATGGAAAACCTGTCTTGCAAGGGGGAGGCTAAAGACCTTGATTTGTTTAGCCTAGCAAAACTATGAATGAGTAGGGATGCAACTGCTCTTTTGAAGTGCGTTATGGTAATACATAGTGATGGTGGAAGAAGACATATTTAAGCAAAAGAGTTAGATAATTCCTCTTGGAGTGTAATCTCTCTGTACTTTTCCTTCTAGACTGCTTTTATGATACTTTGTGCATGCCTGCATAGCTTCAATGCTATTCTGTGTTAAGGAAACTCCAGGTAGAAAGAAGAGTTTGTTTGGTGCTCTGTCCAGGGTGATTATCTCAGGAGACTCACTTTGCTGAAGTTCTTTTTACTGATTTCAATTCTAGGCATGAAGCTAGTTCAGATATTTGAGAAGAACATCACAGTGTGCTACGAAGATAGCTTTGTGCTACTCTATCACACCATGTCAGCATTTTCAACCTACGCTTTAATGGAGAGACTCATAACTATTCCACAGAGTTGCTCTAGGCAGCAACGTGCAAAATTTCTCTTTTTAATGAGCCAACTTGGTTTTACTTTCTTTTAATTGTTTTTAATGAAATAAGTCACTTAACTTTACTTGTGTGAAACTTGTCAGTAAGGATTGAATCACTCAACACAATCTAGGAAGCATAGACCAAAAATTCTTAAAGTAGAAGAATGAATAACCAGTTTTCTGTTTTACCTAAATCTGAATTTGAGAAATGGGATTTCTAAGAGATGTGCAAAGTTGCTAGGTACAGGCAGCTGTAGTACCTTAAAGTGAGTATCCTTTTATCTCTGTTCTACATACTGCTCTACCGTTCCCTTTTCATTTTCTAAAACCTTCTAAATTATTCTGGCATTGGGATCAGAAAAAGGTGTATGTGCATGTCAGGTTGAGCAGGAACTTGTGTAAGAGCATGTTCTGTTGATCACTTAGTATGCCCTTCTGTTTAAGTTGCAGTATCCATTGTTAAGTTGCAGTATCCACAGCCTCACCTGGAGTACTGTGTCCAGTTCTGGGCTCCCCAGTACAAGAGAGACATGGCACTCCTGGAGAGAGTCCAGCGGAGGGCTACAAAGAGGGTGAGGGGACTGGAGCATCTCTCCTACGAAGAAAGGCTGCGAGAGCTCGGCCTGTTCAGTCTGGAGAAGAGAAGACTGAGAGGTGATCTGATAAATGTGTACAAGTATCTGAAGGGGGAGTGTCAAGAGGATGAGGCCAGCCTCTTCTCCATGGTGCCCAGCAACAGGACAAGAGGCAATGGGCAGAAACTGAACCACAGGAAGTTCCATCTGAACCTGAGGAAAAACTTCTTCACTGTGAGGGTGAGAGAGCATTGGAACAGGTTGCCCAGAGAGGTGGTGGAGTCTCCTTCCCTGGAGATATTCAAAAGCCATCTGGATGTGATCCTGGGCAATATGCTCTAGGTGACCCTGCTTGAGCAGGGAGGTTGGACTAGATGATCTCCAGAGGTCCCTTCCAACCTAAACCATTCTGTGATTCTGTTTAGCAGAGGAAAAACGTCCACTACATGATGTTTTCCTTAGCTGTAAACGTTAGCAAAAATATATATATTTTTTGTCTTTATGAGGCTTGGTAACTTTCCAAACTGCTCACAGAATCTGTTGTCTGAACTTTGTCTTACAAGCAGAAAAAAGGTTTAAAAAAAAGCTGTTTTCATAAAATCTTTTAATGTTTTCTCCATTGACTTGGCTTTCTGAAATCACCATTCTTTCGATGAGGTGAGATGCCCTCTCCATTTGTCCTATGGTGTGGCTCAATGTCAATTACCATTTGTCAACAATCACCATTATCTGATGTGGAATTGTAAGCAATTGGGATAAACAAGTTTCACTTTCTGCAATTTCACTCTGAAGTTGTGTTGCCCCAGGCTGCTGCATAATGTAGTCTTTGAGCGTCTCCAAAATGAAATGGCACTCCCTTTCTTCATGTGGGATAGGCAAACTTCACTTAATCTCTTTTTCCCCCCTTTCCTTTCTGAAAACCAAAAATGGACTGACTAATAAAATGAGTGGCCAAAATAACTTTATGTGCCACTTCCTGAGTTACTTTTTTTTTATTTGTTTGTTTTTCTATTTGAGATCTTTCTTCCCTGTCCAATTTGGATGCTAAGAGCAATAGATGTTTAAAACGTATTCTAAGGCAAGTAAAAGCAGTTGTGAGTTAAAATAGAAAGGAACAAGGAGAAATAAATCAAGCATTCACCGGAGATGAAAAATAACTGCAAATTTTTGGTACAGCCGTGCTCCTAGAAAAGAAAAAACAGGGTGACACATCTAATGCCACAGTGATTGTGAAACAGTAGGTAGAAGAACAGAGATGACTGATACTCAGTGACAGGAAAGGCGATGGGGTCTGGAGGAGAGGCAGAAAGGCCACTCTGAAGAAGTTGTTGTAACAGCTAGCACATTTTAAATAGCATTTTCACTGAAGAGACAACATCTAGCGTTTGAAGTTGGGGATAGTGATGAAAATGTGTTTTATATTTGATGGATGAGACTGGAACTACAGTAGGCAAAATGAGGCCCATTTGAGTCATTCTTATCCATGCCTTTCTCATTATGGTTTAATAACTGGTGATTGCTCAGTTATTTATAGCGGGCAATGAAGTGCCTAGTTTATTGTTCCACTCATGCGACTGTCTTGTGAAACTTCAGATTGTAGATTTTTTCCCTTTTCTGTTACATAGAAAATGTAGTAGTTTGCTGCAAGTTTCTAAGCTTTTATTTTTCTCTGGATCCTCCCCCTCTCCACCCCTAACTCCAGGATGTGCTTTCTTTTTTTCCTGTGCCAATTTAAGACATGTAAGAACACAAATATTCTATTAGGAAGGCGCCTTATCTGTAAAGCATGGGGCTATTAAGTGCCAGAAACAAGGTCCTGTTTCCTCATCTCCCTCCTAAGAGGTCCCAAAAGTAATAAGTAGAAAGAATATTTGCGGTAGTGGCAACTCTTACAAAATGAAAAATGGCTCTAAGCAGGAAAATTTAGTAGTGTAGAGACTTCACGGCCAACTAAGGTTTACTTTTCTTTACTTTTCTTCTGAACAGCCTTAAGAAAAAACTGAGTTGGGAAGTTCAAGTGCAGTTGTTTTCTGTAACTAAAACAATCAATATATGTGCTACATTAGTACTCAGACATGGGTATGTATGTGGAGCATAAATAACTTCCCCAGTGGTATGCAAGAGTTTACTTGCAGAAATACTAATTTTGAATCTTCTTAGAATCAGTCTAGCACTTTCACCAAAAGCTCGCAGTTTCATCCCCAAACGCAGGACTTACTATCTCAGCTGAAAAGATATCAGGTGAAATCTGATCCTAATTTAGGTAGAATTACAGAACTGGAGACCTGCATTTGAATACAAATGTAGAGAGCCTATTAGACTACTTAACGCCCTTATAACAAGCTGGAATGAGAATTACTTTCACAACGCACAACATAAATTCAGATAAGAAGATAGCTCAACAATTTTGCAATATCCATGGTCCAAAATAACAGGTGTTTGCACTTTAGAGCAGATGGATGTAATTTTACTGTCATAGTAGTGTGGAGTAAATCCAATGTTAATAACAATATGTGCGGTTGTTCTGTTTTGTGTTAAAATAAAAAGCATCCCCTGGAAAAGTAAGACTAGGTAATTACTCATATGCTCAAGGGGCACTGTGATAAGGCTATCTTTTTGGCCTTCTGCACTATGGCTAGGATCTCGAAAAATTCCATATTAAAACCTTTTTACTTCTACGTTTGCTTTATTAGATTACTACTTAGATTTTTTTTTTCTGATGTACCAGTCATGTTAGTATTTAATATCTGCCTCTTTACATCCAAACCATACCACTTTGCTACGTAGTAGAAGGCGGGGGAGAAAGTTCCACTTGCTGCTTCACTTTGGGGTGAGTGTTGTTAATACTATTCAGACACTTAAGCTGCCAAATATAAAGTATGTTGATGTATAGCTGCATTATTAGTGCTTGTGAAAGCTGATAGCTACAATCAAAGCCGATACCCTCCTGTAAGCATGTTTTCTGCGAGTTTTAAGACCTCCTTCTAGGATTCTGCTGACGTGTCATACAGCACTAACCTATATGCCCCTACATTTTGTACGCTTTTGAGCAAAACCCACCAATCTTAGCAGGGTTTCTTTGCGATGTGGTCAATGATCCAACTCCTGAGAGAAAAATTTCAAGTTATGTGAATTACATCTCTCTCTCTTCCCCTTTATTCCTCTGGCAGGCTTAGAAGTACGTGGTTTTGGTGCTACTACCTGCTTCTAAAGAGAACAGGGCAACACTAAGGATATTTTGAAGCAGCTGGTAGTGGAGAACTTGTGATTTCTAGCAGCTATAGTACATGCTGTAGGAGGTGGCCTGTTGGGGAGGCTTGGACAATGAAATCGGACTGTGTGCAGTCTCAGGATATTGTGTATACAAACTGAAACAGAGTAAAGTGTCATGGTCTGTGATTAGTATGCTGATTAATTGTTTGAAGCATGACTCTTCAGTGATGCTCAAGAGTAAATTATAAACTGAAACATTTCCTAAATTTTTTCTTGAAAGTGTTTTGGAAATTGTGAGCATACAAAATACTTTACCGTTGGGTTGTGTGGCCACTTAGCATGAGTCTCCGAGTATGCACATGCCGCACATTGCAATGTTATCTCTGGTATGACCAGGTCTACTTGTGTTTTGTTACATGTTCTGTCCCTCAAAAAAAAAAAAAATCAATATTGGTAGGGTTAATAGAAAATCATACTGTCAAGTATTGCAAAGTTAGAAGGAACTACAGCTGTACAGCGATTTAACTTTTGGGTTGATTGTTTTGTTTACATTTCTTGTTCAGCCTATTCCCTAGTGATATCTGAAGTGATTAGAAAGATCATCTTGAAATTCCATTAATGCTGGAAAGAATTCCAGAGTAGACATGATTCTGTTGTTGCGATTTATATCCTTGCCCATTCCCTCTCGCATCATTGTATTTTTGGTAATGTTTGCATGAAATGTGGCTTCTGTTACTATACATGTGTGTTTCCAATGTGTGATAATACAGTAGTGTCTTTAGCTAAGCTTCAGTTTCAAATAAACTCTGAACGTGTATTTAGCCATTACTTTCTATGTGCTCTTTGAGATTTTAAACCAACAAATATCCAAAATGCATTAGAGCTTGCAATGCTCTTGAACTTCTGATAATTTAAATGAGTTATAAAGTTAATTGCATCAAGTGTTATATGTTTTCAGCACTTCAGTTTAGGAGGAGGTAAATAATAAAAAAGGTCTCATTATTCAGGGATTCTCACTCCTAGTGTTTCAACACCTCCTGCTATGCCAGGAATGAACCAGCCACCAAAAAAGCTCTTTTACGTACATACAGTACAAATTGTTCTGGAAGAAAGCTCATATCCCAGAGGAAGGTATCTCTTATGAAGAGCTGAGCAATATCATAGCTAGCTGATCCACTTGAAAATTAAGACTTGGCACTGCTCTAGGGTGCTTCTTTGAACAAGATGTTGTTGGTGGCCTGCACTGGTATGTGTTTTACCATCCTATACCAGTTTATTCCAATTATACTCTTTGTTCTGCTGGTTCAGCACACTTCATCTTTCTTTTGCAGCACCTGCTGCTAGTTTTGTTGCGTCTTCTGGCCATCCCATGTTTACTATTTCTAGTATGACATGCAGTATCACTTCTTGGGAAATGTGTTGGTATAGTGATCTTCAGTTTTTCCTCTCTATCTTTTATAAAAGGCAAACTTGTTGGATAGAGAAGCTTCCTATTCATTTAGCATGAGTGAGGTGTAGCTAAATGATAAAACTGGGAAACTAACATGCAAAAGATTCATGTGGTTAACTTGAGCTGGTTGCCAATATGTGCTGAAGTAAGTGTCGTGTAACTAATACGAGCAGTAAATAAAACTAATACAAACAGTACTTATATGGTCTTAATCCTACTGGTTCCTGAGCACTGCTGGTAATAAAAACACTGCATATATGCAACATCATTGTTTAAAGGTGATACACATTTCCCTCCCTCCTCCTGAATTTCTGACTTTGAGAATTTTAGAATATTCTATTTCATGGTATTTGCTTTAAATTCCCCTTTTTCCTTCAAGGTTTTTCAAGTGTCAACGCTTGTTCTTAAAATATTTGTAACCAAACCCAAACCCATAAATTAGCAGGACTGTTTGTTCTTATAAGAAGAACTGAAATAAGTCTTCCAGCCCTTCTAGGACTGTTTTTACTATTTTAAATAAAAACGCAAAAATGATTGGGTACAGTTATAGCTAAATACAAGCTGTGATTAAGTCTAATCTGTTGTAGTGAAACACATAGAGACTGTGGCTTGACTGTGGATGTAATCCTTTTTTTTTTTTTTTTTTTTTTTTTGCCTTTTACTTGTAGGCTGGGGGAAACTATAATATTGCTTGGTCTGTCCATGTTTGAATTAAACAGCCACTGTTCAGTCTAGAACTTATTTCTGAGCCAAAAATGCATTAATTCCAAAATTCACTTTGAGCCTGGGGCATGCGATTGACAGGGGGAAAGGGGTGAGCATGTGAACGTGGTGGTAATACCATCAGAGTCTGTTCTCCTAAGGAAAGTGCTGCAGTAGCTGATCGGAGAAGCACTGTTGTTCATATTGTTACTGCCTGAGCAGAGACTATAAGTGTAACATCATTGTTGGTGGTTTAGTGATAAGAGTTAGATATACTGTGCAAAGATATCCACTTAGCATCAGGTCTTAGGCTGTCAGAAGACTCCTCTATAAGCTTATACTGCCACATCTCTCTACGAAAGCTGCCTGGTAGTTTTAAAATCTGACGCTGAATGGTAGCACCTGCCAAATGAGTACGGCAGGGACATTTAATGACTGTTTGGGGTAGTTGCATGGGATTTCAGGGAGGAATTTAGCAAATACGGGTTGCGTGAACCGTTACCATGGAAGGTTTCCTTTGAGTGGGGTGGAGAGTCTTTGTTCCGTGGCTTTGAGTAGACTACTCTTGGTCTGGTATGTTTGGAGATTACTGTACTTCCTCTCTTTCTTACTCTTTGCTGCTCTGTCAAACTGCTATGCAATTAATTCTTAATTTGACACTTATTTTTGTTGAGAGAGGCACGCTGTTTATGGACTATATTGAAACAGAGAGATGCCAAAAAAGTGGGCATCCAGCTCTTCTATGCTCTGTAAAGAGAAAGATGTAGATTTTACTTAACGATGTGATGGGATGTTGAGCCATGAGATTGCCTATTACTCAGTGTTCTCGCTGAAAAAAGTATTATATCCACCAGTGAGGTCATATCGGTGTTTTGGTATCTGTTATTACCTGGTGCAGTATGTGATTTGATTTGATGGAAGGTTTGATTTTTCTCTTGTGTTGTCCTGGATCGGGCATGCTGCAAAGACAAAGCAAACAGAGACTCTGACCAGGGATGTAAGGAACAGTAATGTATGTTCCAGCCTAATTCCAATTTGTGCCATCTAGTCTTACTGTATCTGTGCTCTCAGAGGTCGACCACTGCTACCTGCACATTCTCCTCACTCCATGAAGGCAAGGGCTGGAATTAGCAGCCTGTTCTTGTTTTCTTTGTCCAGGCTAGCACTGTTCCTTCTTGTCTCTCCCCCTTTCTCTCCCCAGTCAAAATACTGGAGCAGAACAGAGTAGCTCTGTGGGTCCTAGAAAAGGTTTGGGTGAAAGGAGGCTGTACAGTGGAGGATGGCGGTAGACAAAACCTTATAGGCTAAGGAGGCAGGGGAAGGCTAGTGCCATCTTGTACTAATGAAAGCCCCCAGGGATAGATTATTAGCTCAGTGAGACTGGTTTAACTCCTGCTTCTCAAGCATATTGCTATTGCCCATACGCCAGTTGGATGCACCTCACAGACATCCAGTGTGCCATTTGAGATCCTCATTTGGCTGTCCTTGACTGAAAGGAAAGATTGCAGCAGTAAGTCCTTTAGGGAAAAAAAAGAGAGAACAATCTCCTGTGGGTTTTGAGGCATAAAATTCAGAACTATTTTTCTCAAATTATGTGAAGTTTTTCATGCAATAAACCAATAAATGCTGAAGATAACCTGTTGTAACACATTCTGTGGCAAAGTTGCAGTGTACTGTTATAGTGTAGTTGCATGAGCATTTGGGCTTTGTGTTCTGATTTGGATTTGTTGCCTTACAGTTGTGAAGTGAGCCTTCAAGATATGAGCAATGGGTATACCCCTGCAATAGTACCTACTAGAGCTTTTCAAGAGGCAGAAACAGTCTTAGAAACCTATGAACTACCTCATTTATTTTGCATAGGGCTTTATAACTCTGTGCTTGCATAAATAGGGAATGTTCCAATATGGTTCCGGTGTTTGTTCTGGAAAGTACTATTTGTGTAAGTAATGGAACTACCAACTACCATTTTGCTCTAGCCAGACTCCTGGCATTTCATTATGCCTCTTCAGCCTGTTAGAACCTGCCTGCAAATTACGTTTTATTCTGTGACTTTTCTGTGTAGGATAGAGTTGGTTCAGTTATAAAACATACCACTTGTACTGTTCCATGGAGCTAGGCAGCAAGCGAACAGGAAGCCAGAGCTGGAATTTGGTTTGGCAGTGTGAACTGTGCTACCTGGAAAACAGCAAAGTAGTAGAAGAGCCAAAGAGAGAGGCTTCTAAAGTAGATTTTCTTTCAGCTTCTTTCTATTTTTCTTTCAGCTTCTCTGCTCACCAGCTCCTTCCCTCCCCCACTCCTCACCTACTTTTCTGGGAAATATGGAGAGAGGTCCATTGCCAGGATCCTTGGACCAGGCAATAAAAAGCTTAACAGAAATATCCCTCTAGGAAATTACTGAATTTTTATAACAATGACTGTATTCAACTATGACCCATATATATTTGTATATGCTTTTAACTGTGGCAGAGATGTCCCTGTAATTCTGTGTCAACAGTTGATTTCATCTCCAGGAGTAGACTCGGAGGTATTATAGTGGCCAGTCTTACTGTGCTGTGGAGCACTGTGGGACTGTTGCCCGTTCCCCTAGGTTTTTAGAGGAGAGGTTAATGACTCTATAAGAGGTGAGATGCAGCAAAAATATTTGTTTCGTTGATAAGGGCCATTCTACAAAGGAGTAATGTATACCTGCCTACAAAGTTTAGAGAATGGCTTTACTGTTGAGACTACACTTCTTGCACATCGAGATGACTGGAGGCCTGTTTGCTAGTACAGGCTTAATGTGGTACCACTGACAGCTCAAGAGGGGCCTGGGAAGATGGTTTCTGAGTGCAAGATGGGCTGCATAATGAAGAGGGAGGAAAGATGGGCTGAAATGAAGTTATCTTAAGACTGTGACTGAGCTGCACGACTCATTCCTCCCTCAGGGGACACAGGTGCGCAGAGCTATTTTTCTTTAATCACTCACATAAATTTAATTTATTCTTTTGCATTAAAATAATTAAATAAAGCTACACCCTGTATCTTTTATTGCTAGATAATATCTTTGAACCTTTGGCTCACCATTTTGCTATCAGCTGCAAGGTATTTTCCAGGGTGTGCTTAACCAATTTTACCATGGTCCTGAAAAGTATTCTAGGCAGAGAAATCCCCTGATAGCAATCAATGTTCATATGAACTTTTAATCATTGTATCCACTGGGAATAATCATTTCCGGGGCTCTCTTGAAGTCCACCTGCCCCACACTAAGATGAAAGGGACTTCCGTGCTGTGTATCAAGTGGCACAGGCCTAACACTTACCGGGATATTAAGCACAAATTAAAATGGTTTGATGAATGTTGGTGTGGGTCTGAGGTTGGCCAGTTGCTGATGGGGGGATGATGGTGCCAAGTCTGGAACAGATTGGCAAGGAGCAAGAACAGCTTTTGCCTTTCCTATATCCCCTGAGGGTTTTCTCCTGCTCTTTTTAGGACACGACACTACTTGCAGAGGTACAGAAGCATACGTGTTTAGGATGGAGGTGTGTGCTTTGGGAACAGGGTTTGTGTGCTTTCCAGGTTAGGAACAATTTTCCTGGGTTCGTTGTAACTTGTCTTCTGATTGTTGAACTTGTAGATTTGGAAAGTCTACTGCTTGCTAGTTGGCGCATCACCCCACACTCTGCTCTCTGTTGCTCTGAGTTGGTTTCTAGCCAAAAACATCAAAGGGGCTCAGTGGCAAAGCTGCACCGTTTCCTCTCTGGTAAATGCTTGACTTGTATAGAGCCTGCCCCTATGGAAGCAGTGAGATGGTTTAAGTATTGTACCAAACTGTCTTTACTCAGAAGTCTTCTTATAGGTGAGTGGCATTCTTTGGTTAAATACTGGCAGATCTACTGTTTCTGAAACTTCCTTATGTCCCGTTTAGGCTGTTATCTGAGACTGACTGTTGAGCAATATGAATATCTTTTGGCATTGAAACCTGCTCCCCATCTGCCACTCCAAGAACCTTCACTGATGCTTGTATGGAAACAGATGTACTTTTATTTTGACCTTTAGAAAAAAGCTTCACAGAATAACCTTAGAGCTACTTGACTTCAGTAAGGAGGGAAGGGTAGGGAACACCTAAAACTTTGCAGCAACCCCGCAGATACAGCGTTGTCAAGCTGTATAGGAAAGGTGACTGCAATTCAGAACAGAGGGCAGGAACTTCTCTTAAACACACGTTTCCAGAAAGGCAGTCTCACAAGCCCTTCTCTTCTTCCTTTGCTTCCAGAATCTCAGGAGATTTGAAAAAGGGTTAGCACTGTTAATGACTAACTCTTTGTAGCCAGGATAAAAAGCAAGATTTAGCTCAGGAGTTTTATTATCCTTATCTGGGAGAATGAAACCTCTGCTCTTTGACGGAAAGAGCAAATGCTGGTTGGCTTGTTGTATAAAGGCATGCTCAAATAGCTGGGCCTGGGTCTGGGCTTTGCAGGTCCCTTGTATTCTAATTTCTGTCTCTTGCTGTCTTTTATTTGCAGCTCAAAGACATGTCCTCACGTACATGGAGGATGCAGTGAGCCAGCTGCTGGAGAACAGAGAAGATATTAGTCAGTATGGCATTGCCAGGTTCTTCACTGAATAGTAAGTACATCAGGACACTGCCAATAGGGCCAGCCTGAGGGAAGTTTTTGGAAACAGGCAGGGTACATGGCGAATGGAGCTGGACACATGCTGATTATGTTGTGAATGCTGGATTTGACTAGGTTAGCCAAGGGGCTGCCTGAGTATGTTTCAGAAAGGTGCATGGGTTTCCTGCAGTTCAATTCCTCTCCTGTTACAAACACCCATGTGAAGCAGTCATTTTGGGCAACAGAGCTTTCAGAAGGCATAGGGAAGACCAAATTCTGCTTAGTTTAATTAGGCTGTTAGCCAGTGTCAAAAGCAGGAACTGTGTTTGGCTTCAGCAGCACTCGTTTTTCCTTATTCTCAGTATGAATTTGTTTTGTCTCAGTATGTATGTTTTGTTTCCTTCTATGCTTGTTATCCTGTTGAATGCTTTAATAGGACCCCTCTTTCTCCCTTATAGCCTGCATGTGTTCTTAGATAATGTACTTAACAATGGCTAGCACAGATAACTTCCTACTGATTTAGAAAGATATTTGGGAGAAGAACTGTGTACTGGTCTTAAGTGTTGTTGATGTTGACTCAGCTGGTTGCTGCACGTTTTGCTAACTTATTATCTTGCATGAAGTTTAAAACTCTTCCAGGCAACTACGTTAAAACTCGGTAATGGGTGTACTTGCAGTGGGTATATGTTTCAGCATATTTTTTGATGCCCTTCTGAAAATCTTTACTTTCTTGCTTTCTTTCCTATTAACTTCTCCTGAGGCAAATCAGCGTGCAGAGAATTTCACAATAATCTCTGTACTGCAGCAGGCGAAGAGGATCTTGAGGCATGGGATTCCCTTTCTTCCTCAGCTGACTTGAGAAGAGGGGTTTTTGTTTTTATTTGTTTTTTTTCCTTTCTCTTTTTAGCTGTCTATCTAATCTCCAAATGAGATCTCACTTGTTAATTTGAGTTACAGCTGACTGGACAATTTGCATTATATTTTCCCGCCCCACACACATTTTAAACTAGTAAACAACTGAGATTTTCACTGGTAAATGTGTAGCTAAAGTAAATACTATAGCAAGACTGAGTGGGGATTCTTAAAGCAAATTTGTTGAGACAGGATAACAAGCTAGTCAAGACCAGTGTGATTTTGACCATGCTGGGCGGAGGAGTTAAGATATGGGCAATCTTTTTACACTTATTTGTATAACAGACCTTTAAGTAGATGGCATTGTAACAGGAAAAGATGGTTTCTCAGTAGTACCTCTTTTTTGCTCTCAACGAAGTCCTTTTAACTTCCCCTTGGAGTGAATCATCCACATTAGAAAGTCTGGAAGACTCAGACAGTGGCTCAGTGCATAAAGACAATTTTACAAGAAGAATCGAACAGCGTATCAAGGTTGTTTTGTTTTACTGTTAACCCTTTTCTGTAGCTCAGTGTAACTAGAATGAATACTCACTTTAAAAGATCTCATAGCTCTATTTTAGAATGCAGCAATACTGCATGGATTTTATAAAAGGATTGAATTTCTTTTCTTTTGTAAGGTAGTTCAAACTTTCAAAGTGCATCCCCTCTCTATAGACACCCAAAGTAAAAAAAAAAAAAAAAAAATGCATTGTATCAGGAATGAAACATTGATCATACAAATGAATGAGCAGTATACTTCCATGTTCGGTGCCAGCTGCAGTGGTGGTAGTCACTGCTAAATGAGAGTTGTGGGGAATTAATCACTGACAGTAGGTACTGGGCTCAAATGAAGGTACAGCCTGTGCACTTAACGTGATTGGGAATAATGATGCTCCATCAGATATAGGTGGCTTTCCAAGGCAAGTAATGCTGAGATTAATCAACTGAAAAATCCTCAGTAAACAAGAGCTCAAGAAAGATAAAGAGTGTGACTATAATGACTTCCACCCACCAAGCAGGTTTGCTTGCCAGAGTTGAAAGCAAGGTAGCTCTGAAATACCCAGTTGAAATTGTCATTCAGGCATCTCTCCAGATCAGATTTGGTTTGCACCTGCTTTCAAGCTACATCTCAAGGCGTTTTCTGAACTTTTGATCATACATACTTTAAAAATTAAATGGTGAACAAATAAGTCTTCCACACTTTTTGAAACTGCTCACAATACTTCTCTACAGTATTTCTTCATCACGACCTGAGGACCACCCTCTTTGTTCCTTCTCTTTCTCTCCTACCTTTGAAAGAATAAATAATAATTTCTGATCATTCTAACAAACAAAACTGTCAATATTTATTGTTATAAATATGAAGTCACCATAGAACGCCCCTCCGATTGACATAGACACTGGAGATCTTGTTTTTCCTAGTTACTTTCAAATGAAGATGTGAATTTCCATAATAGCATTGCATTCACACTGACTTTTCCATGGAGCTTCTGATGTCTTGAAAGACAGGAAAATACTCGGGGCTTGTCTGCTCTGTGAACAATGCAGAACTTGTCACTGTCAGCTTTTGTTATGGTATGGCGGGAGTTTAGCAGATCAAACGGTGGTCCAGTACCAAAGCACAAACAGGCTTAGTAATTTTGAGAGCTGTGAAACTCTTAACATATGAAATGTGGGAGTCTAAAGTGGAGAATAAATCAACAGAAATTTGGATGTAGACATAATCAACACAGGAAGTTTCCTGTTACGAAAATGCCATTCGTTCTGGCTCCCGGACTTAGCCGTGAGCTCTCACTGCCCCGTAGAATTCTATTCCTCCACCCAACTGTCAGCATTTGCTCAGGCTATGCTTTGGAGGCTACACTTGTGTTGCGTTGCTCTGCTAAGCAAATCAGCTTGATCTTGATTTTGAGTTTTAATCTCAATATCTTAGAACTCAAAGATAATTTGTGAGTTTTCAAAAGGATTGTGTGTACTCTCCCAGTGTTTTCCTTGTTGTAGGTTATTCCAGGTGAGAGGATTGTCATGTGCTCATTTTGAAGTATGCTGGAATGATTTAAGATGAAGGGACTGGGTATTAGGGTGTCCCATTTTTCACATTGTGCTTTCTCTGCTTATGTTCACTTAGAGAATTGGAGACCAAGCTCAGGATTTAAAAAGCTATCAAGTAGGCCCAAACAAGTAATTTTTTTAAAATGTATATGGGATAAGACATCGATTTCTGTTCTTTTGCAGAAAAGAATCAAGTTAGTGTGTCGAGGAGGAATGTTAGATATTCTCCAAACTCTTTTCAGGTACACTTTTCAGTAGAGTGGTATTCCATGGACCTGTCCTAAATTCATCAGTGAAGAGCAGTCATGTTCTTTCCATCAACAAAACACAATGCCCCACCTTACCATAAGTCACTTCACATCCTAATGCCAGTTATACATTAGGATGCACCTATTTTATGGATAATTATTATTAAGAAATTATGCAGTTTTTGTTGGGTTTTATCTTTATTTGAGTAAGATTTCGGAGTTGGAAACTACATGATCATGTGGTTGTGTGTGGCTCAAGCAGTAAGTGTTTTCCAGGCAGTGAGTGGTTTCTAGTTTGGCAAATTAAATTGGGTATGTATGCCACTGCTATCCACAGCCTAGCACTGGAATTGCTGATTACAGAAGGCTAAGCTTCACCTTTACAGCTCTATTTCCAGAATAGTTCTTAGTCTTTGAGAATATTTTTTCTCCCTCTTTATTCCATTGTTAATTTTTCCCAATCATGTAGACATCTGCTTTCAATCTTGGGAGTTCCTTGAGGCTCCCCTCATCTGACTCACTCCTGACTCTTACAGGAATAGGGCTCAGTTCACCTTTCTGCCAATTGATCCGTATCTGTTAGCTAAAAGAGTAAAATTATGCCTCTCTTAGGACTAGTCTTGATTTTATAGGTTTGCTGAAATGCTACTGGTATTTGTTCATTATCTATCCCAGAAACCTCTGCTTTGCATTGGAGTCTCCATGAAATGCAGACTCTTTCTTGAAAGCCTCCATATAATTACCAGACTAGTGCTGCTTCACTTCTTCTAGCCTGACTTCTTCCAGCCAACACGTCTTAAAGGGACTTATTCCTCCTATGTATTATTTATCATCCTGTTTTCTTGATCTTTCCTGTACTGGAGAAAAACCAGGCCCCCATGCTAATGCATTTGATCACTCAGAGGGAAAGTGCATAGTAACCTACTTTGTATTTTCTGGGATCTTAAAGGGAGGCTGTGCGTTTATTTCACTTCAGCTGGAAGAAGCAGCAAAAACTTTTTTTGATCAAGACACATCTTATTAGTAATTTTTGCTTTTCTCCTGTGTAAACCGTTTGCTTGAAACTTTCTCTCCCAGCCAGCAGGTAGATACCCTACTCCGTTCAAGAGCCTTTGAAAGGCTCAGAAATATTAACCAGTGATGACTTACCTTTGATAGGGAACGCTTCTTTCTATCACTTTTAAAGTCTGTTTGATAAAGCAAATACAAGTGAATTGGAGACACAGGAAAAAGGATTTTCTTGTATGGTCTTCTCTCAAGACACTATTTTTCTTCATTTCTGCTTAAACGTCTCCCTGTCCACCTGCCAGCTGGAGCATGATTGAGAAAGGCTTGCATCCTGCTGTTAGCTTGCAGAAGCACTGCTGCTTCCGCAGGGCTCTGTAATTTAATGTTTGATTCCACTTTTCTGTAAAGGGTGTTTCAGCTGGGTTTAAATGGAAGTGCTTCTGCTGGATCTTGTGTGCACTAATATGTTTTCTGGTGACAGTGTTGATAATACTTATGTGAGAAGGTGCCTGTGATATATATGTGTATGTGTGTGTGTGCGTGTGTTTTGGGGTGGGAGGCTGGATGCTGCTTTTAGGTGTATTGTGTGATTGGCACAGGCTTTTAGGAGCACAGGGCAGGACTTGGAAATTCCAAGTCTGCCCTGCTGTAGAGCACTGTTTTACACGAAGGAATATTTTCTTTGTTCAAAGTAACAGGACTGCCAGTGCTATATAGAGGCTATCATGGTGAGAAGTATTAACCTGTAGTATATGGAAGTCCCTCATTTTCTTCTGCTCCCTGGATTAGCTGGAACAATTTGTTCAACTCAGCC